TTAAATTAGAGGGACAAAGGTTTAAAAATAATATCAGGAAGTATTACTTTACTGAGAGGGTAGTGGATGCATGGAATAGCCTTCCAGCTGAAGTGGTAGAGGTTAACACAGTAAAGGAGTTTAAGCATGCGTGGGATAGGCATAAGGCTATCCTAACTATATGATAAGACTAGGGACTAATGAAAGTATTTAGAAAATTGGGCAGACTAGATGGGCCGAATGGTTCTTATCTGCCGTCACATTCTATGTTTCTATGTTTCTATGTTACAACACGCATTCCAGATAGGGTCCTGATAGCAGAACAACATGGAGTCTTTTCCCCAATGACGCTAGCCAGGATAGAAAATGCCCGTATCCAATTCCCAAATGTCTTGGGAATTTTTCGATAGCGGTATTTCTCTGATTCCTTAACGTCTTTCTCAACCAAGGGAGGTGCTTTCTCCAATGGCAGGAGGGAAAATATCTCTAAGAAATCCCCTTTCCAAATTCTCTCCCTAATTTCTTGCTTTAAGTGCAAGCCTAGCGTGCCAGACCAGCACATTTAAGCAGCGCCCCGAACCACGTACAAAACGGCCGCCTCCTGGGAAGCTTCGCCTGCACTAGCAGGATGCCCCAGGCAAAGGAGGACCCGAGGGGGCCGAAGGAAATGAACCATTACCAACTACTGACATAGGTAGTCCCCAAGGACTGCACATTGAGGGGTTGCTGGGCTGGGGATTAAACCACCCTGAGTTGACTATCCACAGTGGATTCCCCGCTAACTGTTAACCCCTGCTTCCACTGTTCTAAAAACCCCTGAAGACCTGAGAGGAATCCCCCAACGTGGGATCCGACTGACTAAAAGAAGAGGGAACACTGTACTCACCCCCTGATGCCTGGCGCTCTGACCGCGGCACAGCAAGCACAGAAGGTAAAGGCAGTTTGCCACGAAGGTGTTCCACCTGCTGGACAGTTTCAGTAACAGCAACCAGGTCCTGTGAGAAGAGCAACAGAGAGGCAGTGAGCCCTGGCGCCACACCAGGAGGCAGCTGAGGTAAGTGACCAGCAGAGGGATCAGGGGGAAGGCCAGAGGGCAGAGGGGACCCAGAAGGAGCAGGGAGAAGAGCAGGAGAAGAAGGGAACAGAGGAACCAGAAGAGGAAGAAGGGAATCCAGGTTGTCCACCCAGAGGCAAGTGGGGCCCCCTGGAAGGAAAAGGTGGAGCCCCAAGGGAAAGACCAGGGAATGGTGAAGGGGGATTGACAGAAGGGAGGACAGGGGAAAGAGACCCACGGGAGCCCTTGTCACTGACAGAGGAGGTTCCCGAACTTCATGAGGCCCTCCCCCAGCCGTGATACCCCGTGTGGCCTTGCAGAGTCTACTCACCACCAGGGCCCTGGTCACAGCCCTACCATCTCGCGTGCCGCGTGGGGATCTGGAAGGCCACTGAGAGGCCACACGCCACCAGGAATGTGCTGCCCACCTACCTCTGCCTGTCCGTGTTCCAATGCCGGAGGCCGGGGCAGGCTGTGAGGTAGATGCGGGGTGTGTAGGCCGTGAGTCCTGAGTGGCATTAGTAGGACGTTCATCCTGAGTGGCAGTAGCAGGCCGCATGTCTGCAGTCCCAGACACGCGAGCCTTGCGATGCCTCGTGCCCAGTCTCCTACTCCTCAAACGGGCCCGAGGTGCAGCATTCAGGGATAGCCTAACTGGTGGGCAGGAATGCGGGAGCAGGGGAGGCCCCTGGAGGATCTGGGGTGAGGTGAGCATATTGCGCGTGGAGTTGCCTGCCACCTTCCAGCACAGCAGCAGCTCTGAGGGATGCCATGATAGCTTTGACCTCTATCCGTCAAGCAGAGTGACTACAGGCCCAGGACAAACAGGAGCAAGAGGACAGGAAGCTGTTTGCTGGCCCGAATCCCAAGTGGCACTGAGGTAAGACCACCCCACCAAACTCACACACCACATAATCCCACCCACACATTCATACACAACCAATCACATGCATCCATCCCCACACTCATACATGTTTCCTTGTCTGCTTAGCTGTGCTATCTCCCCAGGGTCTAGTCTTATGTCTTGACTGGTGTGTGTATTATTATTATTATTATTAACTATATATATATATATATGTTATTTTTAAAATTATTTTTTGCACGTTGTTTAATGTATTATCATGGAAGTCACCTACAAACAACAAGTCTTTCTTTATTTGCAATATTAGAATAATTTTAATAGATGTTCTAGAGATTGCTTATAGTTTAAATCCTTTGAATTATTTTGTTTGAGTGACGTAAAGCCTAGACAGATGGGTGATGATTCATGGACTAGTTAACGTTACATGTAGTAGAATTAACAGTAAATAGAGAGGTCAATGCTGAAAAATAAAAATAAAACACTATAGTTTTATTGCTTGTATGGATAGGAAAGGAGAGAAATAGATTTTTTTTTCTCTCAGTGTTTGACCTTATGGTCCTTCAGAAGTGTATGGAGCCAGCTGTTGGAAATGAAAATCGCAAATAAACTTAATAATCCCTTACAGACTAAATTATCCAAGAAGAAGGTTAAAGACTGTTTCTGTAATTTCCTTAAATTAACATAATCACAGATTTCAACTTGCACTCTACTTAAAGTAGGGTTTCAAAGTCATTGTGGTGATAATGCTGTAATAAAAAATATGTATTATGCCTATGTTTATGGGGAAAAGGCCATAACTCCATATCATGGCAATTTTGCAAAAACACTTTAACAAAGAATTGATGAAACTATTCAGAAATGCTATTTATCTCAGTACTAATTTTTGCCTAGAAACACGAGGCTGCTTTTAATCTATCAAGAAAATGCATGGATTTTAAAAAGAAAAGTTGGTTGGAAGAAGTTAAGGGTGGAGGTTTAACTCTTTAAAATGATGGTAATAATAATAATTCTGTAGATGTAGCATTTAAGGATGGATGGTAGTGTCACACTCATTAATAGCAGGGATTTAAAAAGCTTCTATTGCTATATAAAATCAGTGATGGCACTGAGTCTTTAACACTCTCTGTTATATAGGGGGCGCCACCAATATTGGCCCCATTTTCTCACCTTGTGTTTTTTTTGTAATTTTAAATTCATGTCCCGGAAGTGAGGGTTTGCTATGACAATGCAGGTAGGTTTGCCCACTGCTCCTTCCCCTTTTGAATACGCTATAGATTCCTTATAAAGTTACATGTGTCCACATCCCATTCAGCTCCAAAATTATAATAATTTTTATTTTTACAATAGTAAAAATTATAGTAATAATTCCAAGCCCAACATCAACTGTACCAGCAGAGTTCCTTTCTCTGCGCCCATACATTCATTAAGTTTAACACCAAGTAGATGTCCCTACACTAGAGGTATTCTGAAAGTGGGGGGATTTAAGGATTGTTATTTTTACATTTCCTTTTAATGATCAGAATACAGTTTTGAATCTCAAAATAACCCTCAATAATTATACATATTTCAGATTAATTATGTTAAATTTTTTGAAGTTGATAGACTATTGTACTCAGTATAATTAATAATATCTATATCTGAGTAATAATTGTGTGTCTTCATGGCTGTTCACCTCCTTAAACTTAACCTGTCCAAAACAGGACTAGTCTTTTCTCGCTCAAGTGTTGCTACTCCCGTGTCTGTCTCCCTCCAAGTCAATGGCACTACCATCACCTCTACCCCGCAGGCTCACTGCCTAGGTGTTCTCTTTGACTCCGACCTCTCCTTCATCCTTCATGTCTAGTCGTTCGCCAACTCCTGCCACTTCCATCTCAAAAACATGGCGTACATATGCCCCTATGCTGCTAAGATGCTGGTCTGTGTAGCTTTTATCTCTTACATTGACTACTGCCATCCGCTGCTCAGCGGTCTTACGTGTTCCCAACTTGTCCCATTACAGTCTCTGATGAATGCGCTGGTGAGGCTCATCTTCCTGTTCGCCCGCACCTCCCACTCCTCCTCCCTCTGTCAGTCCCTACATTGGCTACTCTTAAGATATAGGGCTCAATTTAAAATCTTGGTACTTATTTACAAATATCTTCATAATGCTGATCCAACTGACCTATCTTCCCTTATACACAAATATGTCCCATGTAGGCCCCTACGGTCTGATGAAGACCTACGTCTATCCTCTGTTTGTACTCCCACCTCTAATGCTCGCCTCCAAGACTTCTCCAGGGCTGCACTGTTCCTGTTAGACTTTCACCCAGTGTCCACTCCTTCAAAAAATCATTGAAAACTCACCTCTTTAGGAAAGCATATTAATTAGACTGTTAACAGCCCCCTCACCCCCCACACCTGGATTCCACTCCTGCAACTGTAATAAAACAACTAATAAAAAACAAAACACTCTGTGACAACAAGGTCCTCAGTGAATACTATTCTAGCCACCTAGTTTTATAACCTACCCTTCCCTATTGTGTCACTATTCCCCACTCCCTCTAACATGTAAGCTCACTGAGCAGGGCCCTCAATCCCTCTGTTACTGTGTCACTATACCCCACTCCCTCTAACATGTAAACTCACTGAGCAGGGCCCTCAATCCCTCTGTTACTGTGTCACTATACCCCACTCCCTCTAACATGTAAACTCACTGAGCAGGCCCTCAATCCCTCTGTTACTGTGTCACTATACCCCACTCCCTCTAACATGTAACTCACTGAGCAGGGCCCTCAATCCCTCTGTTACTGTGTCACTATACCCACTCCCTCTAACATGTAAACTCACTGAGCAGGCCCTCAATCCCTCTGTTACTGTCACTATACCCCACTCCCTCTAACATGTAAACTCACTGAGCAGGGCCCTCAATCCCTCTGTTACTGTGTCACTATACCCCACTCCCTCTAACATGTAAACTCACTGAGCAGGGCCTCAATCCTCTGTTACTGTGTCACTATGCCCCACTC